ACCTTCTTTTTCCAACGCAGGGCTTCAAGATGTGGACGCGGGAACTGGACAAGCTCCGTCAGATAACGGCGCCGCTTGGTTGTTGTGATGGGCCGCTGGGTGAGCTCGCTTGCGAAGGTGTGCAGGGCTGCGTCGAGCTTGGGGAAGGTTGTTCATTCGCGCCAGACGTGCGTGTAGGCTACCGCTGCTCGTATCTGACCAAAGATGACAGCCAAGGCTGCTGCGCGATTTTGTCGAGTGCTCGGTACATCCAGCGCAGGCGTGCTGTATTCGGTGTGTCTGCCCACGAAGCCGTGTGGGTCTTTCATGTTGACGTATGTCGTGGCGACGGCTGTGTCTAGGAGCGAGTTGCTATGTCCCGGACTGTGACGTGTCGAGACCCGGAGCCAGTGCACTACTTGCGCCGCCGAAGTGACGCGATGTTGATACCATACACCACTGGACTATGCCAGCAAAATACTTGCAGAAGCTTAGCTTTTGACTGATACTACAAATTCGTGGATGGCTCGAGCTGGCTTGCTCTGCGCCTGGATCTTGTAGCCTGTGCGTGCTTCCATATCTTGATCCTCTAGAACGCTCGGCCTTGCGCGGAAAACCTCTTCCACTTCTTGGAAACGGCACTTGCGTGCTGATTCATAGAGTCACCACCTCGGACGTGAAGCCATATAGCGCCAAGCAATCTCTTCCATGGCCTCACCGCGGGCTCGGGTGGTAATTAAAACCGAACAACTATTCCCGCGGGCTTGTACCCTGTCATGACAGTCACGGTGTTGGGGGCACCCGAGGATGTATGTAGCGTGCTCTTTTTGGCGGTGCAGCTCGACAAGGACGGGCCATCAAGATGCGGCCGCTAGAAGACGCCACTCAAATATGATCACGCGGCCTTCCAGGTTGCATTTTGCGTTTCCATGCATCACGATGAGCAACGCATAATTTGGATCTTGGGGCATGCCGCAGATCATGCTGGGCTGACACATGAGTTCGCTTCGCTTGCAGCATAATATTAGCGACCTACATATAGTGCGGAACGACTCTACGATTGTGGATGGAGCGCAAAATGCAAAGACCCTCGTTTGCGACCAATGGGCTACACAGCGGCTACATTGTTGCCTTGGTCTCTGGCTTTCCGCAACCCATTGTCGACACTTGGCACAAAACGGTACCGGTCTGCCGCACTCTTAACCCTCCCAGACCTAAAGGCGTTATGGCTGAACTTGGCGTCTTGCGGGATACTACTGGCGTCGCTACAGACTGTCGCTACACTACGTCCTCGCCATGGAGCTGCGCTGCAAGTTCATAACGTGTGGAGCGCAGCCATGCTGCGAATCGCCAAGTGCAATACGCATGGATGTACGGCCGCGTGCGTTTTTGCAGCGCAGTCATGCAGGACCACTCTTGCTGTCAAAAGACGGCGGTGAGTGTGGGAGCATGCCGCGGCCGCTTATTTTGAATGGCTCGAAGGCCGCGATTCTCGGCTGTCGCGCACCGCCGCAGCTGGTTGGTGGTGTCGGTATAGAAAACCAAGTGTACCGTGGCGCAGCCTTTATCCAACCAGCTGGTGAGCGACCTCTGTCTGAAAGGCATGCATGGTTCACTTTTCAACTTGCCGATTTGCAACCACCATGGTCTCGTGTCTCTCTGCGCCTTCTTTCGCCTCTGCACCCGTGGCTGTTGACGCAAAGGGCATTGTCGCTACGTCGGCCATCGCCGCCGGCACCGTGCTATTCCAAGAGAAGGCGCTTGTTGCCTCCTGCTTTGGCAACATGGACATGGACGAAGGCCACGATTCCGACTGTGACGATGAGGAGTGCGGCGGGTGCATTGAAGTCGACGACGACGACGACGTCAAGGAAGAGCTCACCGAGGATGAGTTGGACTCAGTGTCCCCTGCCGTCGTAGCCAATTTCGACAAGTACATGGCGTTCTGCGAGACCCACGATGTGCTCAGCATGGTCGACATTCGCAAGAACCTCGTGAAGCTATTTCATCACTTTACTAGCGACGCGTCGACGCTCGATGTCGTCAGCAACCTCTCGGTGATCTCTGACGACGTGACGTCGTGCCTCGACACGGCTCTCGCCCTCCGCAAAGACCTCTCGGAGATCATCCCCGGTGGCCTCTCCGATGCCGACGTCGCGCACTTCATCGGCGTCCTTCACAACCACTCGCAAGCGCTCGAAGAGATCGACGGTAGCGGTTTGTTCCAATACGTCTCCAAGCTCAGCCACTCGTGCCTTCCCAACGTCAACTTGACCGTGGACGGCACGACGATTTGGGCCACAGCCATCAAGCCCATCGCAATTGGTGAGCCGTTGACGGTCGACCTCATGGATGTCTTTTACTCGGCCTCCAACGATCGTGCCGAGGCGCTCGCCACGGAAGAGATCCACTGCACCTGCGGGTACTGTACGGGTGCGATTCCGGACTTTGCTCGCGCCTTCAAGTGCAAGGACACCGCGTGCGATGGCATCGTGCACCCGACGGCGGAGAAGTACGCCTGTACGGCGTGCCATGCTGCGTGGTCGGACGAACAAGCCGAACAAGTCGAAGCGCTCGACATGCCGCTCATTGTCGCACTGGAAGCCGCATCGACGTTTGCCGAGTACGACGCCATCATTGCGGCCTCGCCACTGCACAAGTACCACCACGTGTGCTACATGGCACTCGAGAACCTTTCAGCTTCGTGGTCTGAGGACGACGACGATGAAATCGAGGTGGTTTGCCGCCGCATGCTCGAGTGCATCAACTACGTGGTGCCTTACCCTCATGAAGAGAAGACGCAGCACTATGACAACCTTGCGCAGGCTCTCATCTCGAACGGCAATGTTAACGGCGCCACCGAAGCGTACGAGCGCGCCTACGAGATGTCGTGCCTCTGCTCCGGCGCCGAGTACGAAAAGTCCGTTTTCTACAAGAAGCTTGTCGAGAACACGCCGGCGACGCGCGAAGAATGGATGGTCGCGTACGGCTTGGACGGCGACGACGATGATGAAGAATAAGCGCAGCATTACCTTTTCATAACTTAACCTTCGCCCATTAAAGTTGGATCTGCCCACCCAATTGCTTCGTACTCGCGGTCAGGCTCAGGCATCTCGAGCCCGTTACGTTGGACCATGGTCCATTGCGCGTGGCAGCGGGATGTCGAGGACCACCAATGTATCGACTTCAAAAAAAGTATCCGCGGGCGCTGGCTCGCGATCCAGGCTGCAACTCCTCCTCGGACGTCCTTCAAGTTCTGTCGTGCGACAGCAGCTGCTTGGTCAATTGGCGAGTCCCAGACGCTCAGTAGCGTGACACCATTTCTGACAGATTCGACCTGGGCGTTGGCAATCTTGAGTGTAAATTTGGAAAATGCGTGTCACGCAACCGGTAAAGGGCACTTCCCAGGCTGTGTTACACGCGGCAGAGCGCGATGGCGTGTCGCACGCGTGAATAAGCTCCCTGACCACCAACTGCGAGCGGCGCTGAAGTCACTTTCCAATCGCCACTCCAATGTTTGGACCTGCCTTCCTCGCCGCGTCGATCTCGCACGACATCACCAAGCCCATCGTGGCCACGGCGGCCTTTGAAGCCGGCACCGTCATTTTCCACGAGGAAGCGTTCGTGTCGTCCAGCTTTGGCAACATGGACATGGACAACTGCTGCGATGAGGATTGCGAAGACGACGACTGCGGTGGCTGCGCCGAAGTCGAGGAGGAAGACGAGCCCGAGTCGCTCGATGAAGACGACCTCGAAGCCGTCTCGCCCGCTGTCATCGAGAACTTTGACAAGCTCATGGAGTTTGCCGAGACGAAGGAGCCGCTCAACATGGTTGACATTCGCAAGAATCTCTTCAAGTGCTTTCACCTTGTCGAGGCGGATGCTGGCGCGCTCGCCCCTCTCTACGCGCTTTCCGTCAACGCCGATGAGTCTGCCAACTTCCTCGACGCGGCCGTGGATCTTCGTGCCCAGTTCCCCTCAGTCGTACCCTCGTGCATGACGAATGACAACGTTGCCCACGTCATTGGTGTCCTCAACAAGCACTGTCACGCCCTGGAAGAGGTACTTACTACTCGCCACTCGATTTTGGGTCTCATGCAGCACGTGTAGATCAACGGCAGTGGTCTCTTTCTCTATGTCTCGAAGCTTCCGCACGCGTGCTTGCCCAACTGCAACATCACGGTCTCTGGCACGTCGATGTGGGTCACGGCGATCAAGCCCATTGCGGTCGGCGAAACCTTGACGCTCGACATCCTCGATCTCTTTTACAGCCCGATCTCGGACCGCCGCGAGACGCTTGCCGAGGACAAGATGGAGTGCACTTGTGCGTCGTGCACGGGCGCGATCCCCGACTTTGCCCGCGCCTTCAAGTGCAAGGCCGCCGACTGCGCCGGTATCGTCCACCCGACGAACGGCGCCTTTGTCTGCACGACGTGCAACTACACGTTCTCGGCCGACGAGATCGCTGATGTCGAGATGCACGAGATCGCTGACGTCGACGAGATTGGTGACGTCGAGACGCTCAACGAGTTGGACGGCGTCATTGCGGCGTCGCCGTTGCACAAGTACCATTTCGTCTTCTACCTCGCCATCGAAGCCTTGAGTTCGGTCTCGATGGACGACGAAGAACTTCCGGAGTCGGAGGCCGCCAAAATCTACAACCGGGTGCTCGAGTGCCTCAACTACGTCGTGCCGTACCCGCACGACCTCAAGACGCAGCACTACGACCACCTCGCGCAGACGCTCATCGGTGCCGGTGACATCAACGGAGCGACGGAGGCTTACGAGAAGGCGTACGAGATGTCGTGCCTCTGCTCGGGCAAGGACTTTGAGGAGTCGGTTTTGTACAAGAAGCTCGCCGAGAACACGCCCACGAACCGCGAAGAGATGATGGCAGCCTACGGCATCGAAGTCGACGAGGACGAAGAGTAAGTTAGAGATGGTGCGCCTAGATTTGACGAATCGCATTTATATAATATTCCCGTGTCGAAGATTTCTGTTGTTGCCACGGGCTCATCGAGTCGAGTTGATCTAACAAGCAAGAGGACTTGGTCGACTACATAGCCCCCTGAATTCCGAGGTGTTCGCAAACCTGGCGTGGCAAATTCGTCAGCCGAGCCGCTCTCGTCGCATCCGGAAGCACAGCCGGTGTTAAGAACGCGTGTCAAGAACAGAATATATTTCCAGCACGATGGAGCAGGCCGTCATGATGAAGGACCGCGGGAACGCGTGCTACAAGAAGCAAAAGTTCTCAGCTGCCATCGACTGCTACACGGAAGCCATCGTACCTAGCAGCTGCGTTGTGGCCTCTCCTCAGCGTGCTCGTAGTGTCTGTGCTCGACCGTGGCCGCCTTCTACACGAACCGCGCGCTCTGCTACCTCCAGGTCGGCGGCCACACGGTCAACTTCTCACGCCAACATGATCGTAGTTGGAACGGTATCCTCAAGCTCAAGATGACTGCACACGAGCAACGCAACTCGACAGCGCCAACGCCAAAGGTCTGTTCTGTCTCTCGCGTCGCCCTCTGCAGTGCTTTGTAGCCTACTACTTGCTCGGAAAGGCGTGCGTCGGCGCGGCTGAGTATAGCCGAGGCATCCAAGCCTTTGAGATGTCGATCGAGAAGGCCCAGGGCTCGGCGACGCCAGCGACCTTTGTCGAGGACGTGCTCCAGCAGCTACGCCGGGCAAAAAAACTCAAGTGGAACGAGGTGCAGCGCGTTCGGGGGCAGCGCCATGGTCGTGTCAAGTCCCTCGTCGCGGGAATGCTCGACAGCTCCCGTCAAAGCTGCCTTCGCACGGGCGATGACCACGCGTACGCGTTTGCACGCTCCGAGTTAGGGGACCTGACGTCTGCCTAGGGTGATCCACGAAGAGCACGACCTTGTTCTTGCGCACATGATGGAGCTGCTCGAGACGTCGCCGCATGTACACAGGCGTGATCTCGAAGAAGAAGCGTGATGCTAGTGCGACTAGGCGCCCCATCAGCGCAAAATCCCAGAGTACTTTTTGTGCCCGATTGGCATGGACATCATGCTCGACCCCGTCTCAACGCCGAACGGAGTGTCGTACGACGCCCTGCGCGTCGCCGTTTGTTCGATGGGTGTCTGTTGTAGGTACGAGCGCAAGTGGATTGAACAGCATCTGGACGTGCAAGCGATCGACCCGCTTACGCGAGAGAAGCTCACGCGGGCGCAATTGCGGCCGAACGTCGGTCTGCGCCACGCCATTGAAGATTTCTTGCACGAGTTCGTCGTTCTCCGACCTACCTCGCACCTTATCAATTCGTAGGAACCCGTGGGCGTACGAAGACGAGTAATCCGAAGACTAGCGTACATCCGACGATCAACCAATTTGTTTGTACCCTGGCAATCGCGTTTCAGGGATATCTACCGACCTTGTGATGCCCCGCAGGAGATTTTTGGCCAAACGAGTCCTCACGCTTCGGTGGCTTTTTCTCGAGAGTCTCGTGCCACCACTCCACCAATGGCTTGGGCGCTGGCTGCCTCGATGCACGCACGACCTCTTGTACCGAGCTTCAAGTGGGGTATTCTTTTCTTGCCACATGGTACCTAGCGTTTTGAGAGAAAGATTGATTGCGCTGGCGGCTGCACTTTCTTTTCGCCCGACGACGACCCATGGACTTCGCCAGCTATTTCCGCAGCCTCGTCGAGGTCCGTCGCGCGCTGCATGCGCAGCCAGAGGTGAGCTTCAAGGAGTTCAAGACCCAAGAAACTATCCGCGCGTACCTCACCAACGAGGCCAAGATCCCGGCCGAGACCATTCGCTCCTGCGCCAACACTGGTACACAACGACGCCAGATACGACTGCTCGACGAGGCCTTTTTCAGGCCTAATTGTGGACATCGACGGTCCCGCGAACGAAAGCGGGTCGTCGCGCAAGTGCGTGGCCTTCCGCGCCGACATGGACGCGCTACCGATGCAAGAGAACAACCCGCACCTCGAATATCACTCGGCGCAGCCGCACGTACGCCGTCATTCTATGGCAATGCTTAATGTCTCTTAGGCTGCGCACATGTGTGGGCACGATGGACACATGGCGTCGCTTCTAGGCTTTGCCGTCTTGGTGAGCCGCCAGCGCCACTTGCTGCCACCCAACACCCGTGTTCGTCTTCTCTTTCAGCCTGCCGAAGAAGGTCACTTTGGTACTTTGCCCTCTCTCTACTTCAATGGCATGATGACGCGTCACAAGGTGCTGTCGAAATGATCAAGGACGGCTGTCTCGATGGCGTCGACGAGGTGTACGGGTACCATAACATGCCTGCGCGCTTTGGCTTGCTCCTCGTGCAGCCGGGTCCGATGATGTCGCACTCGAGCCGCTTCACAATCCGACTCTCGGGGCCGGGCGGGCACGGCTCAGCCCCCCACCAAACCACCGTCCGCCGCTCCCTCCACTTGACGAGCAGCGTTTTGATGCTACCTATATAGGACCCAATCGTTGCCGCGGGTCATATCATTGTCGCCATGCAGTCGGTTGTCAGCCGCAGCGTTCCGGCGCAGGAGAGTGCGATCCTCTCGATCACGCAGGTGCACGGTGGCGAGGCCGACAACGTCATCCCGTCGTCTGTCGTGCTCTCCGGGACGTGCCGTGACTTTTCGCCCGCGGTCTTCGACATCCTCCAAGCGCGTTCGTCACCTCTGGCGACAAGTACCAAGCTCTTGTACAACGCTAGGCATGCACGCGATCGTCGAGCACACGGCCGCGGCGCACAATGTGAAGGGCGAGCTGAGCTTCCGGCAAGGCTACCCCGTTACGTTCAACACGACAGACGAGGCCAACGTTGTTCGTGATGTTGCTCAAGCTGCGGTACACACCACAGCGATACATGCATGTGCATTGACGATGTGCACGTAGCTGGGTGTCGAGAACGTCACTGCTGCGGGGCTACCTAACCCTGCGTCCGAAGACTTTTCCTACTACCTGCAAGCACGTCCCGGTGCCTTCTTCTTCCTTGGGACAAAGGACGAGGTGGCCCCCTCAATGAGGCATGAACTCACACGCGCACTGTAGGCGATTGCCCAGAACCGCAACCTGCACAGCGATACGGTGCACATGGAGCATATATATGAGACTCACACAGCACTGTAGTTCGACTTCAACGACGGGGTGCTTCCAATCGCGGCACGAATCTTTCTGGGCATCGTGCACCATCGCCTGGGTTGCTCGCTGTACTCGGACGAGGACCTGACTGCGATTCTGGAGTCGTTGCAGTAGTTATCTCAAGATCAGTCAAGTCAGTGCATTTAATCAAAGTCTGATCCTTTCGAGTTGCAGGATCATATTGCCTCTGGGTCAGTCGGACGATGGCCAACGGAGCCTTCGGACACTGTGGCTTCGAACTTCGCTTTTGATCGGATTGGTGCAAACATTCCAGAAGAGACCAATCCAAAGTGTCTAATTTCGCTTCGAAGTACGGCATTCCGTTGCAGCACCATAAAGCGCAGCATGGCGACGAGCTTCTTTGACGACGCCGGGAAAGGCCAGCTCAGCTACTACCTCCCGACAACCGAGACGCCGCCTCCATCCCTCCATGGCCTCCGAAAGACCAACCAATGCCGCTTCGAGGGTGGCTGTTCCAAGTATGCCCAAGCAGGTACAATTCGCCCGTCGAGATGGGAGCTCACGGTCGGACAAGGTGGCATGTGCATCGCCCATGGCGGTGGCCGGCTTTGCACCGTCGCCACGTGCCCACAGTTCGATACGCGCACGTGTAAAAAACATGGGGGAACGAAAAAGTGCATGCTGCCCGACTGCACGAACGCTGCCGTCGGCAAAGCGCGAGTCTGCTGCAAGCATGGCGGTGGGCGCAAGTGCCAGGTTTCCTGAGGCTCATTTCGAAAGCACTTACGACGTACGATGTATAGACGGAAGGTTGCACCAAGTACGACGCCGGCAAAGGCTTCTGCCTTGGTCATGGTGGTGGCCGGCTCTGCAAACAGGACAACTGTCCGAAGAAGCAATATCGCCAAGGGTTGTGCTACGAGCACACCACCAAACCCATGTGCAAGCACGAGGGCTGCCCGCGCTTGGATCTCGGCAAAGGGTGTGCCAAACCACCACCACGTGTGCAGCAGCCTCACGTCGCAAGTAGCTTCTGCAAGACGCACGGTGGCGGCTACACGTGTAAGGCCGAAGGCTGCACGAAGAAGGACAAAGGGGGTGGGTTTTGCATCGCTCACGGCGGTGGCACACGCTGCCGGTCGCCCGGGTAGTTTCAACACTGCTGCAAACGACGTCATTGACCCTATGTAGGTGCAACAAGGTGAACCGCGGCGGCGGCTTTTGCAAAGCCCACGGTGGCGGTACCCCCATGCTCGTGCATTCGGTGTTCGGCATTTGCAGCCTAGGCAAAAAGTGCCAATTTACAGAGTGCAGCGAGTGGGTCCTGAACGGCGGCTTCTGCAAAACGCATGGCGGCGGCGCAGGCAAGCGCTGTTCGGTCAAGGGCTGCCTGAAGTTCAACCAAGGAGGCGGTTTTTGCCTTGCGCACGGCGGGGGCGTCAACTGCTCCGTTGAGGGCTGCACAAAGAAACAGGTGGGTCGCTTCTGTGCCTGGATGCAGATTGACGACGTTGGCCCAGACGCGGTTTGGGCTCTGCTGTGCACATGGTGGCAAGGCCCGGTGCAAGGTCCCACAGTGCGAAAAAGCTGTTCAGACCAAAGGTCTTTGCAAGGCCCATGGTGGTGTCAAACCTTGCAGGTACAACGCCGGACAGTCTCAATTTGCCACATGATTATGTGCTTAGCGCCCCCGAGTGCACGAGGCAGGCCAAGAGCCGGGGTTTCTGTATCAACCATGGCGGCGGCCAGCAGTGCAAAGCGGCCGAGTGTCACAAGACTCAGCGGGGCGGTGGTTTTTGCAAGGCTCACGGCGGTGGCCAAAAGTGCAGTCACGTACGTTCGAATTCTCTACCTTTTTTCAGCAAAACCACAGGCCGCGTGTACCAACTGGGCGATCAACGGCGGTCAGTGCGATGACCATCCGGCGGTACTGCCAATGGTATGCGACCAATCTCGTAGTCTCGTTGCGTCTGACATGGCTGAAAAGACGCCGTCGGGAGGACTGCTCTTTCCACGCACCAACGCGGCCCCTGCATCGCAACTGGCAGCAGCGCCGTTCCCAGCGTTCCAAAACGTCATCCACCCGGCGCTCGTGCAGTATTCAACGGCCATTTCGATTCTGAACCCGGCAGAAGTCGACACAATGATCTGGTCGACGACCCCTAACCGTGACGGTAGACTCCAACGGCATCGACTTCGGCCAATACGCTGACCAACCTTCTCGACACGATGCAGCTACCCCCGTACATGTACCACCCGCTGCCGTCGCTGCGGTCCTCCGATGCCCTCCTCTTCAGCGACGCCACAACGCCCGAAAAAGAGGTATGTCTTGAGAATTTTAAAGCTCTAACGACCGCGGCGCAGGCACCCCGCACAACGAGCGCAAACCGCCTTCAGCACCAGCTCAACCCTATGGCAGACGACGACGACGATCCGCACGAGTCGCGACTCAACCAAGACGCTGCCGTTGCCATGACCTCCTTGTGGTAGAATTTACGATGAGAGCTCTGTCGAAAGTCGAAAAAAGCGTTGCAGTGTACGTGTGTTGACGTTTATT